GCACTTCCTGTCAGTCCGGCCGGTTACAGGAAACAGGAACTCCGCGCAGAACAGGAGTTTCTGTTTCCTGTCACCGGCCGGACTGACAGGAAGTGCACACTAAGTGTGCACCTTCCTATCACTCTGGCCGGCCACCGCGGTCCGGAGTGCAGCTCGGCCACGCTACAGGGGAGAAGCTGCAGCCGCCTGACCGCTCTTCACAGAGCGCTCAGGCGGCTGCAGTATTTAAAGGGCCGGCCCCAGGTGCCGACGGCCCACCGGGAAATTTCCCGGTATCCCGGTGGGCCAGTCCGGCCCTGCCATTCACACACACTTGAACCTACAAGCAACCTCCTACCACAGCTCAGTGCTACAAGCACTGACTCCCCAATCAAACTTTAAAAAGCATCTACACAGACATGCAAATCCTCAAACAGTACCCCCTCAGAAATGTGTCCCCCACAGAAATTCAACACTTCAAACAGTGTCCCTAGGAACAAACAGTGCCACATGCAGCATCCCCACATATATTCATACACACACACACACCACAGACAGCTTTTCTCCACAAATGCAACATCACAACTAGTCTCACACACGCAAACCGAACAAAAGCTTTCCTACAAACATGCAGTACCACATATAGCATCCCCACAGACATGCAACACCACAGGCAGTGTTTAAAATTAATTGGTCCCTAGACAGGTTTATTATTATTATTATTAAATTAAAATCCTGGGCTAAGGAACTGCAATCTTTTGAGAGTATGAAAGTGGTATGGTGTAAAACAAATAAAAGATTTGCCCATGAGCGCCTTGTGACCTTACTACGGCTCTGTGGAGATGATGAGAGGAAATGTGGTTTGGGAGAAAAGACAGAAAATTTAGCTGGAGCATGATGGAGATATGTCACAGAAAATGTCAAAGTGAAAAGAGGAAATGTCATTGAAATGTTACTGAGGGGCTGGGCAGGACTGGGGAAAAAAATTGGGCATTTTGTAATCACAGTGGCCACTTGAGAATGGGTGGGGCCAGAGAGGTGGGTGTTTTGTCATCACCAATGACGAACATGTTTGCTTTCAAAGTGAGCATCTTGGTACGATTCTCTTCCAGGGCAGACCATGCACAGAGCCCTGCTGAAGAGCTCTCACTTGAGAGCACAAGCAAATTACATGCTTGAGTTGTTTTGCTTGTGACTTGTCTCTGGTGTCTTCATAAGTGGGATACTAAAGGACAAAAGAGCCACTAAAGCTTATTGTGCATGCGTTTATGGGCTTGTTGGATTGCGTGTGTGCAGAGTGAGCTGATTGTGGTGTGGTGTGGTGTTTTGTGTAAATAGGTCGGTTTTAGTGTGGTGTATTATGTGTGGCTAGGGGCTGGAAAGAGTGAGAGAGTATGTGTGTATTGTGGCACAGTGTGTATAGGGGATGTAGTGAGTGTGTGTTGTAGTTGTCAGGATTCCCCCATATTATTTTCTCTATTGAACCTTAATGGACTGTATTATATATTCCTAATCAAGGAGTTACCTTATTGAATTATTGCTACTGAATACTATTTTCTGTGAAGCAATCCTAAGCAAAATTATCATTGCTAGATGGGATATTATTTTAAATTTACATTGCTGCAGAAGATTGTTAAAGTGAAATTACCTTATTTCAATAAATCAAACTTTCTTAAAGTGACAGTATCAAATGTATTCCTTCACCTGCAGTTGAGTTTCAAGTAAAAGTATTACAGTAGTGTATGTGTGTATAGGGGATGTAGTGTGTGTAGGGGCTTTAGAGAGTTTGTGTTTAGGGAATGTACTGTGTTTATGTACAGGGGATTGTGTGTGTGCATAGGGGATCCATAGTGTGTATGTCAGGAATATAGTATGTTTGTAGGTAGTGCAGTGTGTATCGATAAGGGATCTATTATAAAAACAATAAGGAGTCGCAACACCAAAATAAATGTCAAATACATTTATTCCACCTGTGTTAAACTAGCAACGTTTCGACCAGACTTTACAGTCTTTGTCAGGTGATCTATTGTGTGTGTAGAAGATCCAGATTGTGTATAGGTCATCTACTGTGTGTGTAGAGGATCTAGAGTGTGTGTAGGGGATCAAGAGTGTGTATAAGGGATGGAGTGTGCTGGTGGCGAGTAAACTCTGAGCAGAAATATTATAAGGGCAACTCAGAGGCACAGAATGGTGTCTGACAAACATAGATAACATGGACAGACAGAAAAAGCAGTTGATGTAAGTGTAACCTAAAAAGGAATTAGGGGCAGGAAACCTCTGATATACTGAAAAAGATACATCTCTCATCTCATCTATTTATTTTGCCATTGAATCATAATTGTACTGCCCCTTTAATCCACCTCTGTCTTTAAATACAACTTCTTCATAGATTTTTTGCCAAACTAGTTAGAGATTTTAATAACAGCTGCTACGTTTGTACACAGTTTCATATATCTGTAATAGAATAAGCTGTCACAGGTAGAACAATTGAAGTAGATTAAGTTAATCAATAGCTGCTTTTGATTTAAAATTCCTGAAAGGCAAGCTGACATCTTCTAATGGCGTCTGAAAGCATGCACATTTTGTAATTATTTAAAGGTTAAATGCTGCTAAGAGATTTATAGCACCTTCAATGTAATAAGCCTGTCCATTGCAAAGGGCTCTGTGATTTCCTAAGCAAGTTCAGAGTAACAGGTTATGTGTAACGTCATCTGAATGTCTTGATTTTAAAGGGACTGTCATGCAAAACATGTGTCCCATTTTAAGTTGTTTAGAATTTTATTTACACATTGCACTAGTCAAATGGCTAAAATACTCAAAGTGTCCAATTATCCACAAACAATTACATGCAAATTCAGAAAGGCCACACTGCAAACCAGATGATACAATGGTCATGGGTCGAAGAAGGCTGGGGTGGTCAGGAGTTCTCCCCAGCTGGCCCAGTAAGTAAAGGCCAAGTGCATATATGGATCACCTGTATTTTCCACTGTGCCCACACAATGGGTGTGATATGTAGCAGTTAAACAGGCTTGTTTATTCATTGCCTTCATTCTAACAGGGTTACTCACTAAAGTAACAAGTATCAGGAATACACAGATAATGAAGTTCAAATTTAAAGACAAAATCGCAGAACTGCAAACAACGACAGCAGTGTGGTGGTGTCAAGACTTATCTAACCCTAAAATACTCAAAAACAGGTTGCACCAATGAATGGATATAAAGATAAAATGAGTAAAGAAATATATATGGAATAAATATTAAATAAACATATAAAGTCCAATATTCACAGTCCAATGATCACAATCCCAGCTGCTTGTAAATTCTTGAGAGGTATCAGCGCTTGATTAAGGTGCTTGTCAACATATGTAAAAATATACAAAATGAAAAATAATAGTGCAGATTGTTTAAGCAGGAAGCTATAACTCTCAATAATGATAATTGGAATTGCACTCACATTTTGTAGAGCTTAAACTAGCTCTAAGTAAAACTGCTTGCAGCGGTACAATGGATATAAAACGCTTAAAACCAGTGTCTCAGCGTACAGATGGTTATATAAAAAGCAAAGAGATATACAATAGTGCTCACTGTAAGTACAATTTATATAAAAATAAATTAATGTATTTTACTCACATTTGATAGACAAGTATATCACTCAATTATCTGTGCATGGGTGGTATAATTCCCACCAGGGATATGGTGTGGAGTAGTTGTCCAAAATTGAAGATGGATGTGCCAGGAACAAATAAAATAGCTAAAAACTATTAAAAAGCATAAAAAGTGTAATAAATGGACTAACACATATAATAAGTGAAAACCAAATATACTAAAAATTAAAAAATGCTAAAATAAATAAAACAAATAATACACTTTCTGAACTCCAGTTGTTTTTAAAAGTCTAGAATAATTGTTGTGGATGCTAAAATGTCTGGACACACCATGGATTTTAAAACTTTCTGCTTTCTTACCATAGTGTATCTTGCTTGCTGCCATCTCTTCCCCAGGTAAATGTCACATATGCACATGGCCATCCATCAAATCGAAAAGAAAACATGATTTATCAGACAAGCAAAATTGTTCCATGGTCCAGTTCTGACACTCACATCCCCATTAAATGCACTTTTGGCAGTGGACAGGAATCATCATGGCACTCTGTCAGGTCTGTGCAACGCAATCCCATACGCAGCAAACTGTGATGCACTGTGTGTTCTAACACCTTTCTATCATGGCCAGCACTATGTTTTTTTACAATTTGAGCTACACTCTTCTGTGTGTCCAGTCCAGGTCTAACCTTCGCTTCCCATGTGCATCAATGAGCCTTGGGCACTCCTGACCTGACGCTGGTTCACTGGTTGTCCTTCCATGCACTAGGTACTCTCTACTGCATACTGGGAACACCCCACGGGACTTTTTGGAGATACTCTGGTCCAGTTGTCTAGCCATTGCTATTTGTCCCTTCTCAAAATCACTCAGATTTTTTCGCTTGACAATTTTTTCTGTTTCCAACACATTAATTTTAAGCACTGACCACATGCTGCCTGATATATCCCATCCCTTGACAGGAGCCATTGTAATGATATAATCAATGTTATTCACTTCACCTGCCAGTGGTTTTAATGCTG